TTTTTTGAGGTATTTGGAGAGTTTTCTTTCGCTGAATTTTTCTGGAAAAATCCACAGGTCTGCCTCGTTAATCGCGGTTGGCACTTGCCAGGAAACGAGACGTGTCGATAGTCGGCTTCATCAGAGCTTTCGAAACGAACATCGAAAATCGAGCTTCGATTCTGGCACGTCCTCAGAGGGTTACGTAATTCGGTCGTTGCACTTCGTGCTAAAATTTTGCCGTTTGCTTTCGGTTCCGCCTTAGTCATCCTTGTTACCACGAAATTCCGAAATATCCTAGGTTAGACCAAGAATAATAGCCTAGATTGTTAGCTCCGAACGTGCAGTTTCCCGATAATATTCGTTTCCGGTTATTCAAATGGGGTGGAACGCTGGTACCTCAACTATTTGAAATTTGTATTTTTAGACCTTTCAGTTTCATTCCTCGAACGTTTTGCAATGGAATATTATTCTAGGCCAAGATTCCTTCACGTAATCACTTCCTTAAATTTTTTCTCAATCTCGAACAATCTTGAAGCAACCTTCGTTTCACGGAAAACGCGAGCAAGAAGCATGCCTGAGCGTAAACGATTAACCGACACGCGTTAAATAATGCAAGAAGCGTCGGATAAATTCTGTCGCGATCCAACGTTTCCTCGAGTGTCACCAGAAGAGACCCATCGAAGCCGTGTTCCGGTCTTCGATCAGGCACCGCGCGATCGTTAACGTGTGTCAACGAGGAGAGTCCATCACTGTCCGGTCGGGGCCATTGTCTTTGCGGGACGAGGACATTGTTGTCACTGGTCGGGAAAAGAAGGAATCCATGCTGGCACTAGACCGCGAAACCAACATCGTGGAATAAGATAAACGAGAAAAGAGGGCGAAGGAGAGAAAGAATGCGAAACAATCAATCCGGACGGGCAATCGAGTTCTCCTGGATTCCATGGTAATCATGGAGGAGACCGGTCTCGATTATGGCTTATTTTCTTTCCACTCAATGGCGCCGCGTGACGCAAACGACCCTTAACGCGTGCAAGTGTGAAAAAATGATTAAAAACACATTTCCAGTCCACGGTCTAATCGAAGACATACATTAGCATAACATTTGGTTATCATAATGCGAGAGACAACATTAAGACACGTTCCTGATTTTCAATCGGGCTACGCCCTAGGGTATGCGGACTGGTTCTTTATCCGATTCCAAGGCAATTATTCCGGTCTCCGAGGCAATTAAGTCCGATGCAAATCGAATTGATTTTGATAAGCGATCGAGAGCCGACCTTCGCTCTCATACTTTATTATTATTGCGTAATAAAGACCTCGTGATAGATTCCTTTCTTCTGATAGTAATCGCAAGACGATTGTATAATTATTCTAATGCAATTCGTTGCATATCAATTGAGCCAATCGTAGAAACGACACGAAAAATCCATCACAATTAAAACGACGGTATTTCTCGTAAATCTCGATTCGAATTGTGTTCAATAGTTCACATCGAAAAAATAATATAGAAGCAGTTGAGAAATAAATAAATAAGACTAACAATGTGCGAGATATTAGCGCTACCTGATCGCTTCGATAAATACTAAATAACAAAAGGTGATCAATCGCGGTCAAACATTCTTAATGGCACTCTTATGGCACAAAGGACCTATTGGAAACTCCGACGTCTGACAGTAGCTATTAGCTTCGATACACGTGTGACTAATGGCGCCCATATTTTCCAAGGAGGGTGTGGTGATTTGCAGAATACAAAGTTCAAACGGTCTTAGGTATATCAGCGTACAGTAGAAACACAATTTTTCCGACTGCGCCATCGAATGACTCTCTGTAGATATATATTTCACGTTCAAATCGTTTCAATTTGTTCCCCGGGAATGAACGGAAAAAAATAAATCATCGAAGAAGCCCGTGCGGTCTGGAAGATGGTTCAGGACGAAGGTCCGATAGGGATGCACATAGGAGGTCGAGTCACAATGGCCGTTCGAACTTTTGAAGCATCCTCTCGTCCCTTCTCTTTCGCAGCCGCAGTCGCATTTAAAATTGAAATCACGAACCCTCTCCGGTTCTCTCGTGCCTCATATGCGCTCGCCAGGATACTCGTACGATCTTGATCATCGACGCTCCTTTTCCACGGCATATATTTTTTTTTCATCTCATCCTACTCTTCGTGCCCTTCCATTCGTCCTCTCGTTCCATCACCCGCGTTTTTTTTTCTTTTTTTATCTCGTCGCGTTCCTGCGGTCGCTCATAAACGGCGTCGCATGAATTTGCATGAGCCCGATCCGTCTGGCGCTGGTCCAGGACGAATTTCTGGCAGCGATCCTTCTCACGAACGACTCATTCATCGATCCTGACCGTCGACGGATGAGTGTTTATACTGCCACGGATCCGCTCTCGGAAGCTGCATACGTTTGCTCCGAACAATCACCGCCTCGCGTGTTTGCACTTCGACGGAATTCTGTGTGCTTAATACGATAATATTGATAGTAATTGCTTGCACTGTGACGAGAAGGTATCGCGGTACAGATAGGGTTTATTCGAAAAATACTTTATTATTTGATTTGGCTGGAAGAACGATTCGAAATAAAGGATGGGATTTTCTCAGTAGCAATAATCATTTCACACGGTTGTCCCATGGAGACAGTGGCGAACGGCCGAGGTTGCTTCTTCCATCGCGTCGCGAAGGTCGGTAGGAGAGGTTCATTGGGTGGTTTTGCGGTTAAATCGGCTGGGAGCCATTCGACTCGCCGCAATGTACGCGGCGAGGGAACCGAACACGCTTGTTGCACGCTCAAAGACGAAAAGGACGACGACTTCTGGGGCTAGTTCCATGAACATAAGTCGCCATGGTGTTTTTGCTCGTTTTGCAGCGGCTAGGTGCCGCCGCGGCCATAAGATCCCATGGATCTGACGTAAGATGGATATCGTATTCCCTATAATGCATAGCCGGCCGTATCGTGAATTCCGTGAAGAAGCGTCTTGCGCCTCGGCCAGAGCTCGTGCACGAACTGTCTTTTGCATAGGTTATCGTGAAAGACCCAGGATACGGCCATAGTCTCTTCTCGCATTCTTTTCGACCTGTCCGTGAAGGCGGTTTCCGTGCCACATCATGCTTACCTTTTCTTGCGTTTCTTCGCTGCAACCACGTGCTTCTGTAAACACCGCGTCCAATCGGCAATCCACCTGGAGGAATTTCACTCCGAGGAATTCGACGCCAACGAAGGATTTAATTAACACTTGGGAAGAATTTTTGCGGAGGGATTGCGATATTCATAATGTCAGTTAATTTGAATGCTCAGAATACTATGTTATATCGTGGAACAAGGAAGGGTGCTCGAAGAGAATTCTTTCGAGCATAAGAATTTTTTCGCTCGACTTCCTGATGGATCGAGCGGAGGAGTTTCGTGAAAGGCAAACTCTCTCGTGGTCGATCCATGCCTGGCCGTGCAGCTGATACTTCCATCTGCCGCGATCTTATTGCCCTCCCGCACTTATTCGTCCGAGCATTTGTTCGCACTTTGTCGGCACGGTTGTTACGGCACGAAAGGTGTTCGATGTACCCGCTTCGATCGGAGCATTGTTCGTTTTACGGTCACGCAACGAATACCGGGTTGCTTCTGGAAGTTCCAAGTATTTTTCTAAAATATTTTAACTTGATACGATTGCAACCATCTTCCCCAGTCGGATTTTTCATAAAGAAGTCTAGTAGATTATAAATTCATCCCTGCGTTTAACGAGTGTCTTCTTTTGTTTCGTAAAGCAAATGGAAGCTGCAAGCGTGGCCATAAATGATAAACGACTGCGAGAAACAAAAGAGTCGAGGAGGAACAACAAAAGACACGTGTGTTTGAAATTTTAATAAACGCGTTTCGTAAAAAGGTTTTCGTTGAAAGAGAGGCGGCCGTGTGTGTCGCAACAATAAAATAACAATTTCCTCGTGCGCACCGGTCGAAGAGCAACCCCTTAATCACGTTAACGACGCGTTGGATAGGGGCCTGTTTAAACGCCATATCCGATATTACGTTGAACCAGCAACGTTCTCACGCGCGTTTTTCTTTCTCCTCTTTATTCTCTTCCTTTTCTTTTCCAAGGGAGCGTTCGTTCTCGCGCGATGGGTGTGCCTGCGTCAACAAACGGGCAACCATAGGCCAGCACGAAGCCACCTTTCTTCTTCTTCTTGGTACCGGTGAAAAATTTATGTGGTCGAACGTGTGCGAATCGACGCACGTGTCCGAAAATTTGGTTGATCGATGACGCGTACGAAAACAGCGTCACGTCGACAGGAAATTAATCGACTGTTCGACGCCATAGGCGGCTTTTGTTGTTTTATTTTTCACCCGTACCCTCGTATCCGACGAATTTCAGCTTTAAATTCTACCTGTTCATTCCCGCTTGTAATTCTCATCCACACGCTCGACAAGCCCGTCCGGACGGAATGATTCGATCTAACGCGAGCATTTTTAACCGTGAAACAGTTTATTTTTTATTTTTTTTTTTACAAGAGATTTTATTTAAATTTTCTACGTCGAAAGCCAGCCGAACGAACATTCGAACCAGCCGCGATTAAACGAATTATAAAGTACCGTTCCCACTCGACCGAGAATTGGGCGGAGGAAGCAATTGCGCGGGTAAATTACGACAATTCTGTTTCCGCAAACAACGGGGGACGAACGCGTTATCATTGCGAGCAACAATTTTTGTCAGGGAGATATACATGACCGGCGATCATTTCGGTTGGGAAATTTAATGAAACGGCTGGTCACTTTCGATGAAAGAAGCAATTATCGTATATTGTGTTTTTTAAGGTGGGGTCAATAAAGTGTGTTAAACATATAATTTTTAACGAAAAGGTTTCACATATTGGAAGAATAATTGAAAAAGAACAGTGTAAAATTTAGAGAATGAAAATGAAAGTTATTTAAAATATAGAATTAAATTAAAATTGAGGCTCTTTCCATGGTCCGTCGTCCGAGAGTTAATACGTTTACCATTACTACTTAGTTTTATGAGTTCTCCATGTCAGTTGAATGATATTCCTTCTAATAAGCGTTATTCATTCCAACTAGTACCACTTACCCTGTAACTCTGTCTTTTAACGCTCATTGAGAAGCAGGCCTGATAACGGGACCGTGGAATGAGGTTTAATTAAAGGAATTACGAGATCGTTCGCACCGTGTCGTGGCAAATTGGTCGCGGGCTATCACGAGATAAGTCACGGTAATTTTTCGACGTGTTTCACAACGAAAGGACGGTATCGTCCACGCACCGGTTTGACCCACATGGTCGGACAGCTTCATTCGCGGATGGCTCGCATCCTTTTCCGCCAATCGTCGCTCGTTGAGTTGCAAATGAACGTAGAAACGAGCGAGTCGAGTGGGTAAATTTAGCACGCGATCGAACGACGCGTGTTAAACTGGTTGCAAGATTTTATTAAATTACCATCTGGCTGTCGCGGGGGGATGAGTTACGGCTAATGAAATCGTCGGGACGATTAATAATTACGGCCATATAACCGCGACACTTGATCGACCTGTGTTTACTTTATTAATGAGCCTTATTAGAAGAATTATATTGGATTATTTTCTTTATAGAGAGATTACTATTTCCAACACGAACGGGTTGAACACGTGTTATTAAGCAGAGGTTCCCAAACCTGGTCAAACTTGTTCGTGAAAGTTGGTGCTTATGTTTCCAGGTACATATCTGGTAAACCACGAAGTTGCAGCGATTCGTTGTTGTAAATCCTCTTATAACGAGCACCCTACTGTTGCATAAATTTTGTGGGACCACATTTCAATTTCGCTTAAACACGAATTTATTTACGTTCACCAGCGAGCTCTGTCGAAGTTTTTAGAGAATTCTACATCATTTTAATATCCCTGAAATTTTTACCAAATAATTGCAAAATAGGAAGCAAAATTACAATTTATGATTGTTCGATCAACTTGAAAACGCTCCACTCTAATCTCTTTCACCTCTTTCCATTCGTGTCGATACCATGGTCGACTTAATCCATCTTCGTTTCACCTTCTGTTCTCCAACACGAACACCTGACTGCTTCTAGTTTTCTCAGCGTCCTCTCTTCGCCGTTTAATCCTGGACGCCAGGAGAGGCGTGAACAAATTGGGATCCGGTTCACGAGTGTCCTTCTGACATATCCTCTTCGCGAGCAAGCTGGTTAGGTAGCCCACGAGCAGCGTGATGGTTAATCCCATGGGACTGTACCACATGTAGGAAATACGATACAAGTAGAAGTAAGAAGGATCTTCTGGTGGTGCCTCGGTGCTACTGTAAATTAAAATTTAATTGCTCAAGGATTTGAATAATTTTCAAGCACACCAATGAATAAATTATAAACACTCTGTTCTCTCCAAAATTTCACGGCGTATTCTAACGTAAAATAATAATTATCGTCGCGAATGATCGAACAGGTTTAGCGCGTGGCAGTAGATAGGACGTTCCTAAACGGAAGGCGAAAAACACCTTGTCGGTAGTTTAGCGAAGAGAAAGCAATACCGCTGGAACGCGGCAAGAACTTGAAGAGGTCGTAATCATGGTTTATTAACGGGCAATTAGCGTTACTTACTATCGTGGGAAACGATGTACATTGGTTATGAGAAAGCAGCGTATGAAAAAGAAACCGGGAAGTAATCGTTTTGCTTTTCAACCGATTATTGCTACCACCTGATACCTCCACACCCATGTTATCGCGTCGCAAGTGATTAGAATCAAGGATAACGTAAATACTGAAACCGATTCATTTTAATTAATCCTTCATCAACGTTCTTATCTAACGCTAACTTTTACCTGTCGATGAAATCTTCCGTTTCGAATAAATTTATACCGTTTTCGCTCTATATTGCTAGACAATCTGTCGACCTTTGCTCGCCGAACGTTTTACCGACTTTTTGCGGCAATAGCTAAATCGACTGGTAACACGTGTGTCTACGATTTCCTTATTGGAAAGGAAATCTCGTTGAAACGGTCTGGGAGCGTGAACGGTTATAAAAATGATCACGGGAAGCCTTTTATACCGATTCCGGAAACTGGGTCGCGCCACAGTTCATTTCTAACCGAACACAGAGAAAGCTAAAGGAAGAAGTTGAATCGAATAGTAAATCACCGATTCTAGTACTTAGGATATTATACATGGTGAACTATGATCAAAAGACGATAACGAGAAGATATAAAAATCCCAGCGAACTCGATTTTCATTCTCAGAACAGTTTTAAAACTGGTTCATTTATCTACTCTCAGAGTACGTTCAAGAGCCCCTAATTATACTTTGAAGTACCGCTGCCAGGGTGTATTAAAGCAACTGTAACAAGTTCACTTTCTTAACAAGCAAAAAATGAAACTTACCCGTTAAGTTGCGTGGCGTTTCGATAACGAAGCAACGCTGTGGAGTTCTCACAGCCGTCGACGGACAACGGAAGAATGGCTGCCACCGGTTTCGGTTTGCCAAACGCTGCCCAGAGGCAGGTGATCAGAGCAGAGATCGTTCCGACAACAGCGCCGGTCTCGTTCGCGCTTTCGACGAACATTCCCAGCGTAAAAATTCCGAGAATAGGTCCGTTAATGGCCCCGGAGATCCCTATTGCTGCCTCGACCAGGGTGCCCATGGATTTAGCCATGAACGCGACAGCCATGCAAACCAAGCCGTTGAATATACCTAATAATTTACCGATCAGAGTAGCTTTCTCGTTTGGAAATTGCACACCGGTCGCCTGGCATAAAGGTTTCACGTAGTCCTCCAACGCCATCGCGGCCAAAGCATTCAACGTGGCGGAAATGGTACTGAGGCTGGCGCTGAAGATACCGGAAATGAAGAGTCCAGTGATACCAGGAACCCGTGACATCCGTTCGGCAGCGAAGAAGGGCATTATTTTGTCGAAGCTTGAGATCTTGCCGGATGTGACAGGATCGCAGTCCTTGTAGATCATGTACAGGACCAAGCCCGAGTAGGACGTCAACAGTCCCAGTGATAAGGTGATGGGACCACTCAGCAATAACGCGTTCTGCGAATCCTTGAAGCTCCTGCGCAAGAAATGGCACTTATGGGATATTAATTGAAAGCTACAAGGATCTTGCAATAAAATTAATCTTAATACAATTTATATCAAGAACACTCCAAGTAGTTAATTCTAATTTTAATGAAACTTGGATGAAACCTGATCACCTGTCTCGTTCAAGCTTATCAAAATGTCCCTCGTAATTGGCCATTAACCAGTTCAACATAATTCGACATATCCTCCGGTAAATATATCCCGTCCGGTAATCATATTAAGTACACGCACCTGGCGGTGAGCAAACGTTGCACCTGAACCTGATTCACAGCGTACAAGGAGAGAAAGATGGTGGTGCTACCGATCAGAAGGGACCACCAAGTGTGCCGTATCGTTGGATCAAATCTGAAACTAGAGAAGAATTTCATTCGTGTACGTACGCGTACACACGACCGTGTGTGCTTACTCGAAAAAATTCAATCGTCCGCCCTGTTCGGCGATGCTCCACACATCGGACAAGCCTTCGTCGAGATCGGTAGCCGCGATCCCTAGGACACAAGCGACTCCGGCGAACATCAACAGTCCCTGAAAGACGTCGGTGATCAGGACAGCCTTGATGCCACCTACGGTCGAGTAAAAGGTACAAATCACCCCGATCAGCAACACGCTCGTGGTCCCTGACAGACCGGTCGTTGCTTCGAGGGCTAACGAGGGCGCGAATAACACAACGCCGGTGTACATCATCAGTTGAAGGAAATTAGCTCCGCTAGCCACTAGACGAGCCTTCATCCCGAAACGTTTTTCTAAATACTGATGAACAGAAGAAGAGAAAATGGAAGATATTTGAAATGGATCGTTGGCCAATTACCTCATAGACGCTCGTTGCCTTGAGCTTGTAGAAAACCGGAAGGTAGAGGTAGAGGGCGATCGGTGTACCGACGAATCCGCCCAAGTACAGCAGCGTGACTTGCGTACCGTGGACGTAATTTTCCGCGCTGATTCCGAGCAACGTGATCGCCGACATGAAAGACACCGCCAGCGCGATCGCTAGAGGAATAACGCCCATCGATCGATTCGCCGAGAAGTATTCCTGTAGGTGTTAATCAAGAAACGTATCGGTTTAAAAACTTACTCACCCGGAAGACGGATCATTTCAAGGGTTGAATGACTCTGACATCAAAACACGTGGTCGGTAGAATGACGGAATGAATCGATCGATCATGAAGGAGTATTTCATTGGTGCCTTCGACGCGATACCTCCGACGGAATGAGTAGCAGAAAGGACGAGAATGTTGTTCGCGCAATTCATACGTTATCATTGTTATTGTATCGTTATCACGGGAGAGCGATCGTACCGTGTGAGTAGACACTTTTCGCCTGGCCCTAACTCGATTCGCAATAACGTTTCGACGTTAATTAACGTTCGGCCGCGGTCAGCCGATCGAGCGGCGGTGTATCGATAAATTAAATAGCGTTCTCGATAGTTGGCAATTTGTGTCGATAGCAATATTTATCGCGCGGCAAGATCGATCGTTCGATAGCGGTGAAAGATCTCCCTCGAACTCGGTTGCCGCTCGTGATCTAAGAACGTGCCAAGCCGGACTCTGCTATTTCGAGCAACGTTTTATCACGGATATCGGATCGAACCCGGCTCGACGTCGCGTCGATTCGATCTTCCGCGTCGAAATTAATTTTCCAACAGTTTAACCTCGGCCGTGCGTTGTCTGCCGCCCGTGAATCGGTAGTAGATCCCGATCCCCGCTGAAATTGACAGCATTACACCGATGACAAGATAATCCGCCCATTGCAACGTGGATACCCTATCATCTTTCCTCTGCTCCTGAAACGAAATTGATTCCCTCCTTTGTGCAAATTCTTTCAAAAGAAGAAAAAAAGCTATCAAGAATCAGCAAAACTTTACAACCGCCTTGAGACTGTACGTTTCGCGCGTACCAGACTCTCGCAACAAAGGCTCGATCGAACGTTTTAAAGTGAAGTTTAATCAAAGTTTGAAGTTGTTGAACGCTTTCCTCGGAATAGAGAAGCTGTATACGTTGCAGGGCTTTTATGGAAAGAGCACTCACGTCCATTCTGCGGGATCCGTTGGTTGCGATAGCATCAACTCGCGATACACGAGAAATTCGATATCGCGAGCTTCTTCCTGAATCGTTCTGCGGCGACGAGGAACAGGCTGGCAACGTAACAGACGGATGGAACCCGCGTGAACCAATGGCACGAGAAGAAAAGCCAGGCGAATATCCTGAGGAAAGAAGCGACCGGGACTCGCCACCTGCGTGTTTTGTGGCCGAGTGTCTTCGTTTTGAACGATGGGAAAAAAGAGGTTCCATTACGTAAAGCTTGGCTCAGCATCTTTTTCGTTCGAAAACACGCAAAGGCGGGTCATTTTTTACCAATAAAAAAATTCGAACGGGAAGAATCGTAACGACAATTTTGTAAAAATTAAAAAAGTCAAAATTTCGAGGTAACTCTATATCTATCCAACGACGAGAAAAATGAATCTTATGATTTAATGACTGTTTAATTATGTAAAGTCGATAAGGGAACCCTTGCGAAAGAACCAGTTCGATTTCCAATGGAGCCGCGGTCTACCGACGCGAAGCTGACCGTCACGAATAATTAATCTCGGAAAGGTTAATGAATTCAGGATAAAGGGGAATTTTCGTCGGGCGAATTCCTGTCGCGGGGCCGAGTGAACGAATCTGTAAGCAAAGAGGCGTTCGAATCCCCTTGGTCGACGAGGAAATTCATGTTGGAGGCTGATCGATTTGTACCGTTCCTTTGAAGCCTCTTAATTGGAGAGGCAAACAAATGAAAAGATCAAAGGGCAATTGTTTGCCGAACTATGGAGATCGATCGATCGAGTGTAACGCGCAAGGTTCGTAGTCATGAACGTTGTTCTACGCCAATGTCGTGTCGCTGGTGCATAACAATTATTCGCAAGACGGTAGCTGCCGGTCGTAATGTAATTTCCTAGCGTTACGAGGCACAATCGACGAGGGGCCATCGGCTATTATTCCGAGCAGGGAAGCACCCATAGAAACGTACGACCAGCGAGAAGATTCCACAGGGTTCCGTCGATCTTTATCCACGCTGCACAAAGGTGTTCATCAAGATCGGTAGAAATACGGACGCGTATAGCTCCATCCGTTGAGAATCGATCGTGAGAAATTTATAAAATATAGAAAAGAAAATTATTTGTTAAAATTGAACGAGTAATTCCGCCGGAAGAATTTTAGTTGCCAGTTTAATAGAAGAAGAGCGGTTGATTCCAAAGTGTTAAGCGGGTAATATCGCTTCTTCACCGTCTAATGCGAGTTGATTACCCGACACGATTTGCCAACACGAATTTATTTCTTCCCGACGTAATTGCACGATGCCCCGTGTTCTCGAGGTTAATGGAGATCCCTGTTGAGCGTCGTCCAATTTTCGACATTGTTACTCGACCGTTGACTGGCTCGTTTTACGCCGATGTTGGTCGCCGACGAAGAAGCTCCGCTGAAAGACGATAGACGAACGGGATGAACGACGAAAGAGGAGAAAAGGAGGAGCCCGTAAGTGGCGAATTCCCGTCATTAAGTCGTTAGTCGGACGCAGGAGGACATCAGGCTTAACTGTCGGTTAACTGGTTGCTGAACTTGATCGGTCGATCGAACTTTATCCTACATGTTTTCACCCCCGCTTCGTGTTTTATATCGAAACAGCCGATATTATGAATTCTATGACGAGAGAAAGAGCAGATTGGAAAATACATAAATCTTCGAAGCATGAATTCTAAGATTCAGTTCGCAAGAGAAATACCGCGAGTCGCTCTCCAGATTCTCCTGTTCAGATAATCACGATGTCGTGTTCCCGCTCGCATGGTCTCCCCTTTTTCAGTTAGTTAGACGGAAGAAGGTGAGACACACTCGTAGATTGAAGATCAGACGTGCTTTTGCCTAAAGCACGCGCGGACTCGAGCGTCGTAAGGAGAAGCTCGTTATTATAGTTGGATACTCGTAGTAAGACGTCTTGAAGGGTCTTCTTTAAACTTGCTTACATTCGCACGCACATTTTTACGGCGAGACACTCGCCCGTGTAATCTCGAACGCTCTCGTGGAAGTTGCAAGCGGTCTTTTCTAAGAGCAAACAGTTCATTAAACCACGCCTCGTAAGCCACGCTAAGACGTTTGCTCGAACAAGCCAACTTGTTCCAGCGGTTTTGCATAAGCTGCCTCGTAAACAATCTTCTGAACGCATTCCAACGTGTACACGACAGAAATTCTTAACGTTCAGATTCGTTAAAAGTTCAGGTACAAACTTTATTATTCCTTCAAGGTAATTACCATTTTATCATAAGACACGTTGGTTGTAATATCTTAGCATAAAATTTCGCAGTGAAAAATTATCTAGGAATACATATATATTTTTTATTTTCAATAGTCATACATAAAGATAAGTATGATTTTGACCCAAAAAGGGGATTGTTTATTGGTACACCAAATGTAGGTTTATTCTATTCAAAACAACAAGTGTTGCAAGCATTTCTGATTATTGAACCGCTAAGGCTAACAGCTGTTCCACTTACAGTGACACATTACAATGCAGCATATTTTTGCATCACTGGTGTGATAATCTGAAGGCCGTATGGAATCGCGAACGAGTCTTATCAAGTCGTTTTGAAATTTCAAAAACGTTGTTGGTTCGATAACGACGAAAAGGAAATCGCTATTGTTCGAATACAGCGATGAGCGACGATCTGATAATCGAGTAGGTTCATTTACACTAGCTCGTTGAAATTCTGTTAATTAACGACAAAATGTTGTGCCACGGTTACAACCTTTTTACCGAGCATGATTCTTCTGCACACCGGCTCGATTCGGTGGCCTTAATTAATTCGACGCGTCCAATTTGCTCGCCTCTTGTCGATCGACAACGCCTATTACAGTTATGACGATTCCGTTGGCTGCTACGAGGCCCGGCAATTACCGCTAATTATGTATTCGAAAAACGGCGCTCCATTCGCGCGAAACGAATTCCTATCAGACTGCGTTTGGAAGACAGTTCCATAAATTATATCGTGCTTTGACCCCGGTGAATTATTATACCACGTGATTGCTATACATTTTCTATTATTCTATTTTTAAGATTTTCTAATGAAACCTGGCATGTGTAATATATTTAACCCTTTGTGGAACAAGCATTCCTAGACTCGATAGAATTTTTTTATTTAAACCAAATGGAATATTTTTTTTACATATCAACAGAGTGTCGATAGACTCTGTTCGTCGTGAACTCATTAGCAATCAGATATCATGGAAAGTCCCACACAACATGGACGTGTATTAAAATTCCACCGCGAGCAACGAAGTGTGGCAATCGAGGATTTTTCGGTGTTGACGGGTTTAGCGAACATTCTAACCACGATTCTACACTTCTATTTCCCTTACCCGAGATCCAACGATAACCTCACAATGGCTTAACTGGCCGGTCCGCATGAGAAACGACATTACGTAATTCGATCATTTGCATCGATGATACATCGTCGACAATGGATCTGTAGGTCGATTTGAATGCGAGTTGTCGCGGATGGAACGGTCGATAATTATGCATCTCGCAAAACGATCTCTAACGAGATACGAACACGTGTAAACGTGTACAGATATGGATCCTCCGTAGAATCATTTAGGAATCGGTAACAACAGAATTTTCATTATGTTAATCCCTGTAGAAATTATCGAAAGTACGCGACACGAATTCGGCGATTCACGAGCATTGGACTCTAGGTTTCATACGCGACGGGACCATTATTGGAAATTCAAAGGTCATGAAATTTAATGGCAGCTTTTGAATTAATAGTTGCCATTTGCATTCATGAGCTCGTTGTATCACTTATATTTTTCGGGGATGAATTTCCAAACCCGCGATTTTAAGTATGTCTACACAGACTTTCATTTGTCAAAAAATATTGAATAAAATTTTTTTATTGTTAACCAAAGGGACTCTCGAAAGTTTGATGGCCCAGGCACGAGACATCTTGCTCCTGCACATTTATCGACTAGGACCCATTCATAATAATCCCTGGTTCGCGAAATTCATCTTCATCGCGAAAATAGGAATACTTGAAGCGTGAGATTTGTCAAGCGATTCTAGGCGCACAGGTGCGCGCATTAATTCCTCTAAATTGCGGTCCGCTTGAGAAACACTCGCGTGTCTCGGGGCTCGTTTACCCGCGGGTCAACGGGCTACGCGAGGCAGCGATGCAACCGAGCTGGATTGATGTATAACGCGCGCACAGCGAGGCGTGTCCTGAAAGTACGGTAATCGACGGTAGAGAATTTTGCTCAAGGATTAATGTCCTCTCAGCCAGTCGGGCCGAGGTGCTTCGTCTTCCTAGTCCGTTCATGTTTCATAATCGGCGAGGCTGTACAGCCAGCAGAATTTATTTCAGTCGACGCGAGGATTCGGATCCTTCGGATGAATTTTTAAATTTTCCTTATCATCCTGCGTTGAACGGTTCGAAAGAATCACGATTGCAGCGCAGTTACATGAAATTGCTTTTACTTGTCGGCAACACGCGACGACCAACTCGCTTCTCCGCTTCGCTAATCTTCCTCCGAGGCCTGCCAGCTAATTATCCCGTGGACCGAACGAACGGTGCTCTTCTGCGATTCACGCGGCACCAATAACGCCGGAAACGAGTTCATCTCGAAGACGTTGCGTGACTTACAAAGCGCGCTTCGTCTTCTGACGACTGGGCTCGGATTGAGTCATTTGTGGTTGAATGAGAAAATTAACAGAATAACAGAGAACTCGAGATCGAACAAATAAATCCCTTTGTCCCCGAGCGAACCGTGCTGAATTACCCGGTATTATTGATCATACAGCGTGTATCTGACCCTAGAATACGGCTTCGGATGGTAAATTAGCTTGTCAGTCAATAATGATTGACAGAATAACATGGCCCCTACGCAATTTTAGATCCAACGTCAACATCGACCGGCAACGCTCGTAATTCGACTCGTTAAGCGGATCCATTAAGAAGATATTGGTACCGTCGGTGTCGTCATCGAACCAACTCGAGGACGTACGTTTTTTCTCGCTAACCATTCCACTCGTTACACGCTAAGTTCGATGGAATCGAGAAAAAAAAGTAATGATTGTACATGGAAACCGTCGACAGTAGTCTTTCTCATGCGAGTTTATCAACCTCGTGGCTAAAATTTCAACATCGCCTAGACGCATTCTTTCGACCGCCATTAGTGTGATTGAACCCGAGAAGAAAGAAATGTAGTTTTTTTTCTGTATGCAAAGCACTGACGTGGTGCACAAAAGAATTTTAATAACGATGGGCCACATGTTCGCAATAGCTTTGATCATTGAGACTTCTTTTACGATGATCATCCTCCACGTTCAAATTAATCAATCTCATTTTATTTGACTCTTTTCCTGAAATTATCTCATGAAAGATCAACCAATCGATGAAGTTATAAATTTAATTCATTTGGGTCAGAGCTAATCA